GTTTAGAACCTTGTTCCCAAGGTTTGAAAAACATCCGATTGTTGTCTATTACTCGTATTTACCTGCTGGATTTTTTAATCCGGTGGACAGTCCATCTAGAAAGGCCCTCCTGGATGAAGTTACAGAATCATCAACCCATACTTTACTTGTAGTGTGTCCTGCGTTTACCCACGTTTCATCAAGGTAATAAATCTTCCTGTTTTGATTTCTATATTTCCCAATTTTTGTTAAATAATCCCTCCTCCATAGCACAATTTCTTCTCTATCCAGTAGTAAACTATTACGACCCCGTTTTTTTCATTTGAAATTTAAATGCTTCAGTAACGCATGGAAAGTTGATCGTTTGAAATTTGGCAACGTTGTATCTCCATTTACCTCCTGCAGTACTTTATCTATAGTAGGTATTTCATTCCTAAAGAAGAATTCATGCACCTGCCTCCTAATCGCATGCTTATCAGCTTCATCCAATGATTTAACAATACTTTTGCGATGTTTACTGGTCATTGGCTCAGAAAAGGTGTGATTTTTTTTGTATTGTCTTAACACATTAAACACTGATGCGCGACACACCCCAACTTTGTGAGAAACCTTCACAACAATTTCTTTGATGGTTGATGCCTCGTTCTCCTCGCGCTCGATCTTATATATATTCAAAATGACCTCTTTCATTTCTGCACTCAGGTGTCTTTTTTTAGAGCGTTTCCTAGGTGGACTGCAGGAGTTTACAACTTCATCGGCAGTATCTGTACTACTGGGCATTTTGCGCAAGCAGTTGATAACAATAACAATCAATAACAAGGTATAACAATAACAACGACAAACTCAACAACTTAATAAGATAACAAACGAAAACGTCCAAAGAAATATCAAATTGCAATGATGCACACGACATACGTAACACGTCTGAACCTGAATGTGACTCTGCCTTGATACGACTGCTCTGCCGCTCGGCATAGGCATTTAATTGCGAATTGACCAATGAGGGCTCCTGTTTTACGTCGAGACGGCGGCGTTAGCGTGAAAATCACCCGAACCTTTTGTTTCCATCCGGTCTATCTCTTATCTGAATATACTGTAGACTACTCGGCTTCACAAAATATCTGCAACCAACAATGCGTGTTGTTAAGTCATTCCTCCATGGACGTTCACAACGATCCTAGTGAGCAAACGTGGAATGACTGTTTGCACCCTGAAAACTACCTAGTCTGCAAGATGACATTTTATAGTTTTTTTTACGTTTTATAGGTTATTTACATAATACCCGTGCACAACATGAAGGCTCTTTGACATATATTTTTGTTCTTATCATCAACCTCAGCAACATTGCATTTACGTGACATGTACAGAGTGACCAAAACTGTGTTGCTCTTAGACACAAACAATTTCATAAACTGTTCAGGATTATCCTACACCATCCCTGTAAGAACGAATTTCAAAGATATTCAGGTTTATACAGGGTATTCGGCAAATGACCTGAATAACAAAATTGACTTTTGCTAGATACCCAAAGTTTTATTACATATTTGGATATACCTACATACGTCCGAGTTTTGTCAACTAGATAATTAATTATATTCTTTCTTCTACAGGATTTTCTGTAAGAAGATATCAGTTGGTACCCAAATAGTTTACCCATTCCAATACAACTCATTGTTCCTTAAGACTAAACATACCGTACACTGGTCAAAAGATCAGTTATGACCTTTTGCATTGAACATGAACATATCATCTCATCGATTTTGCAAATTTGACTTTACGATTTTTTCTATTTATTATGTAAAGTTAAAGTATTATTTGTGTTCTGTTTATTTTGAGTAATACCTGTTGCGGAAGGTATACGTTCAGTTATTTACCACAACATGTCATATGACCGGCTATGGTAGAAATAAGTACGTTGGCATGTGAGTGTTTAAATAGCAGCCTATGTATTTTTACATTTTCAAATCCGAACACTTCTAAATTACTTTAGATAACTCAAGTGTGATTGTGGTACGAAATTAGAGATATCTTTTTAGAATTGCAACTTTTTCACTCTGTCTATTAAAGTGAATACTATACTGGTCGACATAGTTCCATATTTTTTAGACAAAACGCTGACATACACCTATTTTATCCGAATATAATGAAAATGTGAATATCTATAAAAAACAATCCTGCCTTCCAGCTCAGTAGTGGGACACTGTATAATTCCGACCATTTTCGATACGTATTCCCACAGGGACGGTTTAGGATGATCATGAACAGAGTTTGAAAAAAGTTGTGTCTCGGAACAATACCTTATACACACAAGATTGTGCCACCCTGTACATGTAATGGAATTATAATGTTAGGATATAGGCTAGTAGGGATGATGATAAGAATGTGTAGATATTGTGCCAAATAGTACTATTGGCGCCATCTGTTGGGCGAGTCTCCTACTCGCCAGAGCTTCTTGGCCGATCTCTGCTATTACGCGAACCACGACAGCACAAGCCAGCGTCTGTGAGGATCGTGGCAGTGACTCACCTTCTAGATCGACGCGAAGTGACCTCCAATATTCTAGATGCCGCTTTGTGGTTTACCAGACCTTTCTCGAAGCAGCAATGTGGACTATATTATATATAGCTCGGCGGCCGGGAGATGGGGGAGAGTACAGATTATACCAGAGCAGAGCGGAGTGGAGTGTAGTGTAGTGCAGTCAATGGCGACATAAGAATTAGTCAGACATAAATAGTGGTGTACATAAATGTTCTAGCAAGTTAAATAAATTAGAGCCTTTCTTTTTGTGGAATCCAATGTTTCAATCCACACCCAAAAGAATCCAGAAAAACGCTACAATATCATATCAAACAACTATTGTATGTATTGAACTCACAGTAAGCTATTATACGATACATACTGTCTCACTGGGATGCACTGTATCTAGGAAACTACTCGTAGAAAAACTTTGAGCTCAGGAACACTTTTGTTCTATGTAGTTATATTTTCTTATGATGCTATAACTTGTTGCGAGAGCTGCTGCGATCATACAGGACCATAAGATGTTTCTATCAGACTCCATTACCCAAAAGAGCGTTTATTGGCGAAATAAAGCAGAACAGGTAGTCAAATTTCACCACGAAGAAAGTATGCGATATGTAAGCCACCTTTCACAGACCATAAGATGCTTCTATCGGATTCCAACACGATCTTTAAGGGAATTTTTTGAAAAACTCAATTTAGTAGAGACAAGAAACTATTTGGAATATAAGGGATCTCTCATATTATATTTAGACATTTCCTTCCGGGCTCACCGAAACTAAAATCAATGAATTTTGGTGGTACAGTCTATGATAAACGTATTTCACCCTGTAGAAGATGCCCAACATTTTTACTGTACTCACTATTTGGAAGGGTTGCATTGATGGACCGTCCTGTAGAAAACACAATTTATGATGTTCAGCGCCGCAGACGAGCACAGAGGTAATACACATTTACAGGAATTTGTTGTCGAAATACGATAGTTTCGCTTCGGGATGGAAATGCATTAAAATATCGTATAACTGTAATATAAACAAAAGTCGAGTCTGTATTCTGGTGTACGAGCTTTGCAACCGTAATTTTCAACATAGTATCAGAATCAGATTCTAGGGAATATACATTTTCAATGGGGTGGGAGTGTTTTACACAAATATGGTAACGCTGAGGAGACTAACCTTTTCAGCAGCATACTCATGTATGTATGTACATACAGGGAGAATTTTTAATGCAAATTGGTTGACAGATCCGTTGTTATAAAATATATTAAAAGAAGTTATCAGATTTGTAGGCAACTATGCGCTCCTTACTTCGAAGATATGCCGCTCTCTTCATGGTGGTTCAGAACTACGTCACTACGTGGATATACAAACATTGATTTATTAATTATATTACTCTGTCTATTAGATCATACACTGAAATTTTTAGCCTATCTCAAAGCTTATAGCATTTTAACTTCTTTTTAAATTATTTGCGGCATATTTCAAAACGCAAAATGTGATTTTGGTGAAATTACCCAACTAGCAAAGTAGTGGTATAAGCTTTTGGTAAAAGAACCGTTCAGCCATAAAAGCTCTCTATTGTTGTTGCCTGAACACCAAAATGCTGGCTTAATGTTGTGTGGAATGCAAATTTGCTTTCTGTAACATATTTGCTCTAAAATGAGGTGGGTAAAATATTCTTATAGCATCGTTATACAACACCTTATAGGGCAAATTTTTAACTGTTGCATAAACGCTTATACAACTATTTTATACGGCATATTTGCACGTTAGTCAAAATGGTTGTGTTGTGGCATCCATGCTAACGTTTATAAAACAAACCCGAGCCTTGTTGTTTTGCTGTGCAATTTACTACTTTAGCCAACAAATTGCTCCCAACGGAAGCACTTATACAACTACTGTTGTTTAGTAACTGTTAAAGGCTGTACATGTGCTAAATATGTTGGTATCCAACTTCACCATAACCTAACTTTCTGCTGTCATATTTTGGTTAAAATGCCATAACCAATGTTTTAAGACAAACAACTCATGCATATTGGTTCAAAAGGTTTTATCAACTGTTCAAACAGAAGATAGATCTGGTACAAATTCTGGGTAAATAATTCGACTCTGGCGGTATTTCATTTCAGACATTTGTCAAATTATTGTATAACACCTGCAGGCAACACCAACATATTCTAAAAACCTGAAGACAACATGGACGATGCCATGATTATACACAACCACCCGCCATGTTGGGCAAACATTTATTCCTCTATATAATATTAAATAATTATGTTTCAGTTCGAAATTACAGATATAAAGTGATAAACATTAGTGTAATTGTGTCTAAATATAGGATTTGTGGAAGATTTAACGCAGATAAGTTCAGTTTTCCATCTTAAAAATCTAGACATACTTTTGATCATTATCAAAATATGAATCAAATACGAAACCCGTAGAAATTGAGTAACTAATTTGTACGATAATCACAATAAAATTTGCTGCGCAAGTAATTCAATAGCCCTATATCGCAGTGTAGAAGTTTATCATATACATGTCTTTGAAACTCATAATGGCCGATATGTAAGTAAACAAGATGACTGTAATGTGTTAGTTATATGTTCTTCACTTCGTCTATACAATACATAGTTTGGTTGCCAGAAAGTAGAATCACGTAACAGAATAGTTGTAGACAAAAACTGAATCTTGCACTGACGCAAATGTCCTATAGCGGCTGCAAGAGGCTTACACTTTTGTTGTATAACTGTTACCTGCAGCCCTTATACAACCTCTTAAATGACTGAAGTGTCCTATTAGGTGTGCCCATTCCGCTTGTATAGCTGTTCTAAGAGAGTTTTGCCAATGTTCTTACAGTATACAATGCTGTTTAAGGAATACTGTATAATCATTCTTGCAACTCTAATAGGAGTGATAATTGTTAGTTGGGTATTCAAACATATCATTTCTGTTTTCTATTTCTAAGGTAATATATGTATAATACACCTTGGTGCAGATTATTGGCCGAGCACTTTTGTATAATGAACAATGACACTAATGGCCTTCTAATGAGGCATTTATAGAATTTTTTCATTGCTATGCTATATTACATTTAATCTGATTGGTCTAATTAGCACTTCTGAGAATTTTCCGAACGCCTGGCAACAGTGTCCGAATAAAACACACGCAAGTCTGTATCAGAAAACGATGCGTAGGAGAGGGAACTCTGCTGCTACCTGATAGAGTCCAACAAAGACAGAAAATGCTACGTACGTCGACACATCATTCGTTTTCCATCCAATATATCAAGAACTTTCAAGCTGACCAAATAAATAAATACAATCAACAACAATAATTTCAGTTATAAAATAGTAAATGTATTTGACTGTAATAAACAATACATCAAAAGTATTCAAAAATCGATAAAAGGTTTAATAAAAGGGACAATTCTGTGCCCAACAAGCCAAAAGCCAAACGGTCTACTTGATCATTATACAGCCCTACAAAAAGGTCGAGATCCGTGAGAAAGACCATGATAATCGTATTTATTTTTCGATGCTGAATCCGAATCCGGAATCAGAAAAGATCCTAAAGCTACCCCTAGGAGGTGTGAAAACCGAGTTTCGAATGCCACATTTTGGCGCATGGTATTCCCATGCATTTTTCGATGCTGGATCCGAATTTGTGATCGAAAAAATCCCAGGATCGTAAAAATGTTGGTGATCACAAATTCAGATTCAGCGTCGAGAAATACACGGGAATACCATGCCCCAGCATATGGCACCCGAAACTCAATTTTCACGCCTTCTAGGGGTATAAATTCTACACGTCTAAAAAGTTTTCTGATCCCGCATTCGGGTTCAGCGTCAAAAAATACTTAGGAATAACATGGTCTGTCTCACGGATCTCGACCTTTATTTTTTGTGGGGCTGTGTTATTTTACCTAGGGATTTTTTCGTTATAGTTATTTACATAGAGGGAGAAATGTAACTTCTCCTTATGGGGATGCGTTTCTCAGGTTAAAACTATTTTTATTTAATTTAGATGATTGTGAATTGTGATTGTTAATAACTGAATATTTAATAAACCTTTCCAATTTTTTGTTGAATGGTGTATGTGCATCTATATTTTCAAGTCGGTACACTTACGATATGCGCATTCACCATGTTTTAGCGGCATCGAATCGTAAATATTTAATGCGTACTGTATGACTGATATAGTCATACAGACTCCAAAAAAGTGAAAAGATTGTTCCGCTAAGAAATGTTTACGACCATATTATGTGTCAAAAAATAAATGTGATGACACTAATTCGATAGGAATAAAAATTACAGTTCTATTTTCCAGAATTGTGTACTCCCAGAGGTTCGAAAGGCAATTACCGAAGCAGGCTTCTTGTGTTTCGTCGAGAATTTTCCAGGATTTCCGTTAATTGTCTCGATGTTACGACAGTTGGATCGTAAACGGGGGATTGTATGCGGAAAGGTTTCCTTCATGAAATCATCCGACACACGGATGTTTGCACATTTAGTTATTAGACTTCGTGGCACAGGATACTTAGAACAACGAGGAGATCACGATGGAAGACCTGCTCAACCTGAAATGTTACAAATTGAGGAAGACATTTTAGAAATAGACGACCCAACAATAAGTACCAGGACCATAGCAGCCCAAGTTGAAGTTTCTCATAGTAAAGTGTGGAAGACAATACAAGCTGAAGATCATCATAGAAGAGTTGCATTTTGCCAGTGGCTTTTAGAACAGTTAGGCAGAGATGAAGATTTCACGAAATTAATTTTGTGTACAGACGATGCCACATACACGAAATGTTGCACAATTTCCACAAAAATCATGTTTGGGTAGTAGAAAATCCGCATGCTGTAAAATGAACTCATTTTCAACATATATTTTCATTAAATGTTTGGGCTGGCATGGTAAACGGCATGCTTATTGAACCCTACTTTTTTCCACCTCGACTGACCGGTTAGTTTTATTTAGATTTTCTTCAACATAATCTGCCACAATTATTAAAAGTTCCTCTGAATGTGAGACAGAATATGTGGTTCCTACATGATGGGGCTCCACCAAATTTTGTCGGAGTTGCTGATCATTTTTTGACGTAGTACAAAAGTTCCACCAAATTCTCTCGTAGTTGCTGATCATTTTTTGACATAGTACACAAGTTCGTGGTGGTCAATACCTTAAAAATTCATTACTTCGGGCCATAGTAAAAATATAGGTTGATCAATAGAAATTGAATGACATGCTTTCTATGGTACGGATATAAGCTAATAACGAGAATTTCTGTGAGGCTAAAATCTCTCATGCGTTCAATTTGAATGTGAAGAAGTTTGCAAAATTTGATTCAATCAACCTTAGTTTATGGAAAGACCGTACTAATGTGTGAGTACAGAGGGGAACGTACTTGGTTCCACTTTTTTCTATTCAGTTGTCATATAAATCTCGAAATAATTTGAAATTTCGTCGTTGCGCAAAATTGTGTGGCTACAAATAAACTGATGGCGTCATAAGGAGAGCTAGAAATTTTATGTGGAGCCGGTGATGCGTGGGTCTGTGCGATATTTATATTCAACAATGATACATAATTCAGGCCGAATGACGATATGATTACATAGTGAGCACATCTCAATATGCATAATATAGTCTTGTTGAAGAATTGTGCCTCATGCATTCCACAAATTACTCTACTCCCACTGATGCGAGTCGATCCTTTTACTAAATTATTCCCTTATTTCCAAGAAGCAACTTCTGACTATTAGAGACTATATGTATACAGCCATTTATACAAATTAATGTTATGATGTTGCCTTGCTATGAGGTGTTCTGATCTGGTCTGCTATTTATGAACGTTGATCTCTATCGGAAATTCATTGTTGCAAAGAACCGGTAAGTCCGAACCTGTAAACGGCGGTGCTCGCGACCCGCCATAGCCGAACGCTCAATTCTGTGCCCACACACTGCATCTTTAATGACGATTTAAGACTATAAAGATTTTACAATAATGACCTCCTTCCACATGGTTTCCACAGTTATTCATTCCGTCAGTGTATGTATCGAAGGTACTCGACAGGGAGAGTCACTGTGAGTCATCTTTGGCGCTGTCCGTCGCGACGCAAAACGACGCCGTCGAGACGCCGCCGTGCCGCGACAGGTAGAAATTATCATGCATGGATGGGGGAGTGTTGGTTACGGTTAGGGTGAATACCAGACGAATGCGTGGAGGTGCGTAATACTCGTAAAAAACTTCAGAATTCCCAATTTCATACACGACCAATATAACAAGAAACTAGGCTTAACGATTCCGTATGAGAGTGCAGTATTTTGGGAGAATATAATAATATTCTTAAGGTTGCTATAAACTTTCATGCTTCTCGTACTTGTACGTTCTGAAGTCATCATGTAAGATGTAATGGGTATGATATCCAATCGTCCGTCCGTATAGTGTTCCAGCAATTGCCTCGCATGCGTTAAATTAACTAAAGATTTATTTCCCCTTAAACATGTTTGATATCTGGCTAGCCCGACCTGACAGACTAATAGACCGACGAGACTTTTAACTAAGAGCAAAGGTCCATCGACCGCTCTGACGAATAATGACGAATAGTATATGATAGATTTATTGAGTATATATGACAGCTTGTTTGAGAAAAAGACGTACGTGTCAATGCCAGCGTTAAATTCAATAACAGGGTGCTAAAATAAAAAGCTGTGACAAATTGTTAGTATTTTTAGAACATTATTTGCTAGAGGTAGGGTGTGGATTAATTTTTATTTCTGGTATAGTGGAAACATTCGAAAATAAAATCATGTGTGCAGCAGCTACTTTTAGAGTGGTGGAGCATCGAAATACTCGTATTGATTGTTTCTCGTGAGTAGTATAGTTCTCTTCGCGATAGAATTGGTCCACTGTTCAGCAGTTGTTATGATTTGCTGTACCATCTATCTACATCGGATTTACACTTTTTATGACGGTTCTGTTTTTTCTCTGTTTCAATTAGGAATTGATCTTCTATACCGTGACCTACCTCCATGCCAGTTTAAAGCTCATGCGTTTTTCTGAGACCCTAGAAAATTAACTATGATATCAGAAAACATTTCATATAAGCCGTACTTTCAATCATTGACTGAATACGATGCGATTATGGCTCGTAACCTATTTCGGCACGGGTATCACGTATCGTGAAAAGTGACGTTACATCGTTTTTTTGTCATTATGCTGTTTTTTTTGACATTGTGTAGGTTTTTCGACAAGATGTCAACTTAGCAGTAGCTGATCGGCACTTGTCGTGAATACATTTGTAGTTGAACGTGTTGCCTAAACGTCATGATATTTCAGTTATCAATGTTTGGCTCTGATGTGATGTGAAATCTGCTTCAAAGATGGCATTACTGGAGATCTAAGCTGAGGCATAGTGAGGATTTGTGTGCTAATAATGTGTGTTGATGATAATTCCATTGGATTCTTGTCTCAAGTACACTTACTTGAAATTCAAGGCTAGAAATTAGTTGCGCATCCACTTTTTCTTATCCATTCTGGAAATTAAATATGCAAATTTGCTGGGCTCTGTCGACTGACAAGCCATGTACATGCTAACAGTAATTACATACAACGCGGGCGGGGTGTCATGATTGCTTTTGACACTCGTCGGGCACAGCTAATAGATATATTTCATTGGCAGCATATTCAGTAATGATTTTCTCACACAGCAAATATCACTGATTTTATACACATGCAGACCAATACACATAATCATCCAGATGCGATCTTGATATTCAACCAACTTACTTCTCAGAGATGAAAACTACAGACCACTCGGCTTCACAAAATATATGCAACCAACAATGCGTGTAGTTTAGCTGAAGCATTCCTCCATAGATGGACGCTTACAATGATCCTAGTGAAACGTGGAATGACTGTTTGCACCCTAGAAACGACCTAGTCTGCAAGATGACATTTTATAGTTTTTGTTTGACGTTTTATACGTTTTTTACATAATACTGTGCCGGTTTGAATGTCTAATGTCGTTGGTGTATCCTGTGTAGGCCAATACAATATCCTCTATGGATTACCTCACCATAATGGTTTGCAACTGTTTTAGATCTCTAGAAACCTCGTGCTGCAGTTTAACTATGCACCTTTGCACGAAAAGTATCTAGTTTTTTTCTAAAATTCTTATAAATTCATATACGAAATCTAGATACGTCGCATTATAACAATGAAATCGACTGAATTAGCGACATTATTCAATCGGAATCGGAAGACCATTAGTGATCAGATTTTAGGGATACCAAGTTATCTACCAA